ATAATTGGATGGATCTCTAAGGAAAAGCAAATTGCAAAATCAGAAGTCAATAAAAGTAGCACTTGGGTTTGCAGTCAAAGATCTCACTTGGGAATAGAAGACAGGGAAGCCATTAATGTGTGCTAAGGGAAGCAACTGTTTGAGGTGGGGATCTGGAAGAAACTCAGAGCTGCTAACTGTCTTGTCTGCTGCAGGACCATCCACACTGAGCCTGCAAGTGCTGTATGCACAGGTGTTTCCACATCACATTCACTAAGGTATGCTACAGCCCCGTGGTGTGTTAGTATTAATATTAAGTTCTGCTCAGCTTATCTAGAGCAGCAGCTGGCTGCTTCTTCCAAATTATCATACATACATTCAAGGGTCAGGTAGACCCAGGCTTATATAATTTGCCTGGAATTGTGGTGAATTCATCACCACCAGGAAAGAGTAATGCAGGTTCAGAAATATTTCTAAATAGTATATTCTACTTAAAAGAAAATTAATTAACACAGGGCTATTCCTGTCCTAAAAAAGGAGGTCAGACTAAATGATCACAAATGGTCCCTTTTGTCCTTGTAATATACACATACACAGAGTTGGGAACTGATGGAGAAGAGCATAATGCCAGTGCTAATGCCATGTGGAGAATACCAGAGAAAATGGGCCGAGTTAAATTTGGACAAATATATCATCAGAGCAGCAGAAGTATTGCCACCCTGTTTTCCCAGCTCAGAGAAAGCAGACTTAACCCACGGTAGCACTGGAACAAGCCACGTGAAATATTAGTAAGGTTTTTTGATGCTCTCCAGCTTGTACAGCTCAGTCATGTAGGGTGTAATGTAATGTTGATGGAAAGCCAGGTAAGCCATTCCCCTGATGTAATGAGGCATTTTCGGATGTTAATGTGGAGCATGGTATAGGAGAGCATGTGGCTGTGCTGCTTCACAGTGTCTCATCCTCAGAAACAAACCACACATGGAAGTAACAGTTGTACCCACTACGTTCTCTGGACTGCCAAGAAATATTGCTCACTGTTTTTGCATCGCTTGGCTGCACAGCAGTTGCAGTCAGACAGTATGGTGCATGCTGCATGCAGCTCGGCAGATTCCTCTCAGCCCAACAGCTGTTCAGTTTTGGTCTTCCTACCTCGTGGCCGTCCTATGGGATGCTATTCCCCATATTAATTAAATCTTCCACCCCGTGACTTCCCAGGTGCCAGGGACCCACTCACACCCCTCAAGCCAGAGACCATCCCAGAGCAGTTGCTGCCAACCTAATAACCCATTTCCTTAGCGCCCAACTCTTATTTGAAAATTGGGTGAGATTTTCTTCTTCCAAGCTGCTCTGGCTGCCCCATCAGCACCCAGCTGTGTGGGCAGGGAGGCTGGGGATTGGGAGCAGCTTCTTCAAGCCATCCTAACAACAAATGCAAGCTCTGTGCTAATGCACAATGAGGCAGCTGATGTCTGCTGGCGAATAGGATGTGACCAGAAGGCATGAGAGCTGGAGAAGCTGTGCAGCATGAAGTACAGCCAGGCATAGGGTGGTGGAAGGAGGGAAGTGTAAGTGCAATCTGCTTATGGAAGAGAAGAAATAGAGAAACGGTTCTCAATAAGCAGTGCCACGTGCACATGAGAACCGTGTCTGCATTGCACAAAGCCCATTCCCAATTAATGGGCAAGACATTAAGTAGAGTAGAGTTCAGTGTAAAAACACCGTAAGGGAAATGAAACAAAGATCCTTAGGAAGAGCTTGTCTGTGACATGAAACCTGAATAAATCCTCTTTCAAATACGTAAGGCAGAACTGCTAGACAATTTGTATTGCTGAGGAGAAAGCAAAGGGCTGAAAGGGAGAGTCAGAGGTGGGTTTGGGCAGAGAAGAGAATTTAAATGACTCCTTGCATCTCTTCCCCCCTATTGGTGGGGGGATTTGGGTGAGATTTTCATGGGAGCTGCCATTTCTAGGTATTTTGCACGGTAAAAATCTGATAGAGAAGCAATGTTACAGGTCAAGTGGGAGCAGATTTGCGTGGGTCTGATTCCAAACAAAGCATTAACTTTCTGCTAGGACTTTTCTGCACTTCATGTGTTGCAAGAGTTTAAATTTTGGCTTTTTGTTTCAAAATAGGGCAAAAATAAATGTCGAAATATTGGCTTTTCCCATAGGAAGGAAATGCCATTATTTGAGCAGCTCTGCTTAACACAAAGGAGATTCATTTGCAGAAACTCTGCTAACTTGGAATGAAGGTCATGGCTGCATAATTGGACTCTGCTCCCTGGGCCAAGCCAGCAGCACAAGATATAAAATTAATCCCAACCCCCAAATTAAGGTTACTGTAACAAGGAGAACCAGACCACAGAATTGCAAAATCCAGCAGAGGAAGATTTGAGGGATTGCTTAACGTATCAGAAAATCACATCTTTCCCTGTGGCAATTAGCAAGGGGAATATTAACACCTGGGTTTTTGCACTTGAGATTCATGGCAGCATGCTTCCTAGTGGTTCTTCTCAGCAGCTGGGAGAAACTGAGTGCTGTCAGAAGGCCGAAGTGATAAATGCTGACTGGTAGGTAGCGAACATCTGGGCAGAGGTTTCTGCTGGATGCTTTCCGACCCAGCACTGCAGCTGTTCCACTGCGCCTGAATATCTCTCTGTTAGATGACCAGAAGCCCCCGTGCAGACTTTACTTCAAGAGTCCTTTGCCCAGATCCTCACTCTTTTACGACTGAGGTCTCTTCAAGCTGAGCAGAGGCACAGGCTGAGGGCATGCTTCAAGAGGGTGCAAAACAAGCTGCCCTGCACCTATGGGACACTTTCAGTCTACTTACAAGATAAGCACAAATCTTTTTGAAAGGCCCTTTATGAAGGAACTCGAAGGGAGATGATTTGGGAAAGCAGTCCCGTGCAGCGTCAGGTTGCTGCATTTGTCCTGTTTTATAATTTGAAGTGCCTGGGAGTTGCCCAGGTCAAAGTCAATATGAAATGTGGATGAATTTGGTGAAAGAGAAGTTCTAAGGCACTCACCATCATGTGTTCGTGGCTAAAGAAAGCACAGTGATATCAAATGGGGTCTAAGGAACTGGGTAGGAATTAGTACAGATTCTATGAGCCAAGCTGAGCTGCAGACAGGGAAGGTGGAAACAGACAATTAACCACCATTAATCAACCATTTTGTGCACCTGCTGAGCTGGCCATGTGCAGGGCAGCTCTGCCCCTCTCTGGGTAGTGCCAGAAATGCACTGTGCATGTGAGGAGCACTTTTGTGACTGCAGCCAATCACCCAGGCCTGCAGCAGGCAGCTAACAGCAAGATCAGGTGCAATCCTATGGGGACAGCTGCTGGCTGGAGGTGGCTGAGCTCTGAACACTCTCCTGAACGCTCTGCTGCTGGAGCCTGTGCCACATAACCAGAGGCATTTTGGAAAAAAATCAACTCACATTCCAATACATGCTTTGTTGAAAGGGTGGCTGACACTTTGCAGCGCACGGGGCTTGGTTTTCCAGTCCAGCTGATGCTCACATGAGCTGAGACTTCATTGAGCTTGTGCAGCCTTTGGTAGGAAAACCTGTGCCTGTTTCCTCCATTTACAGATGAGCCACTGAGTCATGTGCAGCAATTTGCCTGGTGCAGGCGGTGTGTCCTTGCCTCCTGATGCAGCAATGGCCTGTGTCCGTGCTGATTTGGCAGATAGAGGAAGGGATAGAGCTAGTCAGGCCTGCAGCTCCAAATGGCCCATCCAGAAAAGCCCCACGTGGGCACCCTGCGAGTGAACGTCTGCCTGCTGCTGCAGGAAAGCCTGTGTGTGCTGGGAGCTGTGACCCGAGGCTGAGGAGAGCTCTTCCCTTCCCAGGGAATCTGATGGGGACGGAGGGCTCAGGGGCATTTCAGCGCCATGAGCTGACACTGAGGCTTTGATCTGCCCCTTGCTGGAGGAGTCATGCTCTGGAGCAAGTTCTGGCTGCAGACACAGTGCATTGCTGCGGCTCTGCACTGGAGCTGGGTGCACAGCGAAGCCCCTGCTCTGGGGTCAGCTGGAGCAGGGGGGTGCACACCTCCGTGTGATGACCTGTGTGTCTGGTAGGAATGGGCACAGAGGTGCTGCTGTAACCTTGGCACTGGGGCGTGTATTTGGGAACTCATTTTTTCACTCTGCCTCACCTGGCTGCATGATGCTTACAACCTGAGCTGTGCATTAATGTAAATATTGAGATGCAGGACTGCTACTGAAAGGAAGCACGGCAGGAACGGACATTTCACAGATCAGTGAACAAAGGCAGTGCCTCCTTCCTTGAAAGCAGAGTTTGGCTCTCTGACAGTCCGTGTCGCTAACACATTTCCTTTGCACACTCAGTGAATGTGCTCTGCCTTGGGACTTGCCTAACCCACCACCAGGAAACTGCAGCTACTTGGCTGAGGCACAGGCACATGTCCATCCCCTTGGGCTGCTGTGGACAAACCACGTCGGTTTGTCTGGATCTCAGAGGTCCTGCTTACACGGATGGGGCTGAGGATCTGCCTGCTCAGAGGGATGCAGATCCTGCTGTTCCTGCACACAGCCACCCCACCTAGGCAGCAGGAGATGGGGATGGAGATGAGAGTTGGTTCTTGGTGAACAGCTTGCCCTGCTCTCCATTTCTGCTAACTTTCTTGTGTGAGGAGGGAGAAGAAAGTGCAGTGATAGCGTTCAACCCAGTATGGACTGTGTGCAACATCACGCTGACAGGTGCTTCTGTCCTCTGGTCTCCTGCAATCCTCAAAGATTTCTTCAGTCTCCTCCTCCATGCCACTCCCCCACCCCTGCTCCATGTATCCTGAGCATATTACAGTCTTCCTTTCCTCTCTCAGGAGGCATTGCTCAGAGCTCTCTGCTAACGCTGTGCCTTTCAAAGGAGAAAATCCTACACCCTGCCTTTGAGCTTCAAGAATCAAGGAACAAAACAACTCAGAATAATCCCCTGAGAAGAAAAAGACCCACTGTCCTTCTGCCTGACCACTGACACTTGTTCCAGGTGAGCAGTTTTGTTGGGAAATCTGAATGCATGAATCAGAGCGATGCCCGGTCCGGTGACAGGATAGGGGCAAGAGGGTGGATGGAGATTGCCTTGGGCACGGGTGTGGGGGGCAACAGGGACCCCCACACCCCACGTTAGGAGAGGGTACTGCCCACATGGGAATGCTTTGGAAGTGGGGCTGTGTTTGGGACAGGGTGCCATAACGGTGGGCGGGTGAAGAGAGCCAGCATGACATTGGCTATAGGAAGAAAAGCACTTGTCTTCCCAAGATTGGATTTAGGGCCCCAAACTGCAATTGGTCACCACTGTCACTGTGCTCAGCAGGGATGGAATTCCTGCCCTATGACATCCCCTTTGGTCCCCTCGCCCTGACAGCTGGTCCCCGGCACCCATGGGTGGGCCTGGGCAGATCTGCTCTCCTGCAGTGCCTGTTGTAGAGGGACGGGTTGGCTGGAAAGAAGCTGGGAGATGAACATGGGCAAACCCCAGCGCTTCCCGAGTGCAAAGCCTTGCCAGGGGCTGCTATAGCAACTCAGCAATAGCTGAGCCCACCCCAATTGGGCTGGCGAATGGAAGCCTTCGGCGTAGGCACTTTGGTGTCATTGCCTTCAGCGTGTGCAGCCCTTCTAAGGACAAGCAAGGGGCTGGGCTGCTAAGGCTCCAACTGGCGTAGGGATGAGGGTGACTCCAGCCCATGGCCCATGAGTCATCTCTGTCCTGTCCCTCTCAGCACTGGGGGCAAAAAAACAATAATGGCACAGAGGCTGGATTCAGTGCTGCTGACAGCAGGCGCTGAGCCACTGCTGGGGGAGTGGGACAGGAGGGGGCAGCCAGGCAGCCCCTGTGAAATACTAGTTCTTGTGCCAAACCCCTTCCCAGCCCCTCTCCTCCTGCAGAGATTCCCCTTCCCTCCTCTCCCTGCCGGTGTGCTTCCCTACTACTCCCCAGGGAGACTTTCCTCCCTGAAAATCCTACTGCTGTTGACATTAAACACGATAGCAGAGTTTCCTTGGAGACGAGAGAAACAGTGGGCTCCAAAATGCTGATTATTTCACGGTTTCTGGCTGGCTTTCAGTGATGAAATAAAAAGAAAAGAGTTGTGATAGCAGAGGGAGCCCAGGGCAGCCTGTGTTGAGCAGGGCACTGACTCTGCTTTTCCAGTGCCACCTCTTTACACAGGGTTTCCTGAGTGTGCCCCAAGCAGCAGTGCAGCAGCACGTGCCATGTCAAACTGGCTGCTCTGCGACTGCGCTGCCCCTGTTCCCAGGCCCCTGGAGGCCAAAAAATTGGAGAGAAACTTTACTGTGGGCAGTTCTAATTTGGCTGACTTCTGCCTGTCCCAGGAGTAAAACTGGCTAATTAGATTAACCCTTCTGTATTATTGTACATCAGCGTTAGCAGCAGGGGGACAACAATATGAGTATCAACATTTGGATCTTTCTCTCGTGTCCATTTGTCCCAAGTGGTGACAGTGAATTTTGTCCCAAGATGACAGAACTTCAGCTTTGCTTTTACCATCCCCAAGCCAGTCACTATGGCAGGAGTGCCCTGCAGTGCCATGTCCCAGTGGTGGTCAGAAGCTTGCTTGGCCTCGAGGAACATCTCACAGAGGACCCACTAAACTGATAGCACCCATTCCTGCTGAGACACCTCTGGGGTCCCCACTCAGTCATTTCAATGAAGCAGCATTTTCTGGTTTATGTTTCAGACTGGTTTAAGAGTGCTGAGCAGGGTTTAGAGGGTGAGAGAAGAGGAGTGAGGAACCAGGTCTAGTTCTGTGCCAATTATGCATAGAGACCTGCTCCAGGACACTGCTGGGGACAATCCTGCTGAGCCTTGTCACACAGTGTGCCACCGTCCCCGGAGGAGCTCAAAGAAAGGGTAGATGTGGCACGAGTGACATGGTGTGGGGGGCATGGTGAAGACGGGCTGATACTCGGATTAGAGGATCTTAGAGTCATTCCCAACCTGAATGATTCTGAGTCGATGATGATGAGATGGAGGGACCGCAGAATGGCTGAGGTTGGCATGGACCTCTGGAGATCATCTTGTGAGCATCTCTGCTCAAAGCAGCATCAACCAGAACTGGTTTCTCAGCACCATTGCTCAGGACACGTCCTTTCAGTTTTCAACATCTCTAAGGACAGAGATCTCACAACCTTTCTGGGCAGCCTGCTCAGTGCTGAACCACTCTTACAGTGAAAAAGTGTTGTCTTATGCATGAATTCTTGTATTTCAATCTGTGTCCATCACATCTCTTCTGATCACCGGGCACTTATTAGCGTCTGGTCCATCGATGCACACCGTGCTGTTAGTTGCCTTGTTCCATCTGCACAGGGATCCTGAATTCCAGCTCCCCACCTCTCCGCCACATCCCTGTGAGCCCAGCAAGAGTGCAGCCCTATTGCTTTACATGGATCTCTACTTTCTACTCTTGATCCTGCGGTGCTGTGCCCATTCATGCAGAGGCACTTCAGAGGAGTTCTCGTTTGTGCTGTTCTCCCCACAAAGTGTGAGTTAGTGCCTTTGTCCCTTAGTGCCACATGCACACATCTCTTCAGTACCTCCAGGGAGGAGGACTCCACCATTTCCCTGTTCAGGCTGTTCCAACAACTGACCGCCTTCTCCATTAAGTAAATCTTCCTAATGTCCACCCTAAACCTCCCCTGGTGCAACTTCAGGCTTTTTTCTCATATTCTTTCCCTTGTCATCCAAGAAAAGACTGATGCCCTCCTTGCTGCAACCTCCTCTCAGGCATAAAAGTATTTTAAGAAACCAGCCTTAGTGCTGAGCACTGAGAAAGGCTGCTGGTGGCCAACTGACAACTGGATTGAACTTCATTCACTGTGGCTCTTTGAGTCCATCCAGTTCAATGCACCCCAAAATGTGGTTTGCCCCTGGCTGCCCGGGCATACTAAGTTGAGCGTGCATCACCAGCACCTCCAGACCCCTTTCTGCTGAGCTGCTCTCCAGTTTCTTGTCTCCCAGACTGTACCCATGTCTGGCATTGCTCATCCCAAGTGCAGAACCCAACCATTTCCTTTGTTGATCTTCAAGTCATTGCTAATCTCTCTGTGCTCCAATATATCCAAGGCTTCTTGTCCCTGCGCCTCCCAGTTTAGCACAATGGGGAAAACTGCTTAGCGTGCACTTCTCTCCCGCATCCAGATAATTGATAGGAGTGGTGAATACAGAGCTGAGCCCTGGAGAACATCACTATTGACCGTCTGCCACCAGCTGTAACCCCATGCACTATGACCACTGGAGCTCTACCAGTGCTCCAGTTCATCACCAAGCATAGCGTGAACTGTCCAACTCACAGCTGGTCAATTTGTCCAGAAGGATGCTGTGAGGGATGGCACCAAAAACCCTACTGAAACCCAGAATGGTCACATCCATCACCTTCCCTTCATGCACCATGACCTTACCCCGGAAGATCAGATCACTGAGGCAGGACTTTCCCTTGATGAACCCATGTTGACTATTGGATAGCAGCTTTGGTCTTTGAACAAAATGATAAATGTCTTCCTTCCCCATTTTTTACTTTCACCATCTTCTGACTGCTGGCCTTAAAATGGCCAACATTCCACTGGTTATGACAAACCTCATTGCCAGGAACCAGGCATTAGTTTTGCAACACTGGGCTTTCTTACAAAATATCCTGTGCTTCCTCATCTATCCTTGAAGTTACCTCCAGAGCTGCTCTCTTGAATATCTCAGTTCTGGCAGAGCAGAGGCTGAAGAAGCAGTCATGATTAGGAAAGCCTTCACCAAGAAAGCAAAGCTACCTTTTTCCTTCTGGGAAGGAAAATCCATGCCATTGCAGACTGCTTGTCTGCAAGAAGTGTGTTTTGACAACTTACCGCAGCAGCTGGAGGACTTCCAGCTGATGCAATAGAGAATATTTACACAATTTCAGGCTGGCGATGCAGTGGGAATGTGCTGTAGAGAGGGCTGCTGGATTGCAAAATGTACAGATGGAGAAAGGCAGCTAGACAGCGAGAGGGTGGGGACATCACAGAGCGGGTCCTGGTGAGCTCTTCTGTGCCATGAGCATTGCTCTGACAAGGCTGCTGAGCATATGGTGCAGCATGGCATCCTAGTGATTCATCCTGAACTTTCCTGCATCAAAATAGAGATTTTGTTTTCTTTGCATGAAAATACTTCTTTCCTGGTACGTGTGGATGGGGAGACATCTGGAGAACAAAGCAGGTGAGTCCCTCTGCATGCGTGGGTGCTGCTCCCACCTTCCCTGTGTGGGAACCCTTGTCATTGCTGTGATGTGGTCTAAGGAAGGTGAGGTCTGGAGGAGAGCTCAGTCTGCATTCTCCTCGATCAGTGCAGGTCTCCTCAGGTCGCTGTGGCAAATGGGAAACCTGCTTTGCACCAAGCAAGCCGTGGAGGTGACAGCAGATTCCATTCACTGAGAAATGGAGCACTGCATACAAAGTGCCCTTTGCCTTCCCGAGGTGTGCTGGGTGCTCGGTGAGGAGCAAGCAGTTTGGGAGCAAAAAAGCCTCAGAGGATCTGACCCTTTATTTGTCAATTCACTTTGCAGGAGTTTGTTTGCAGGAAGTCAGACTGCATCCCTCCAGCAGACACATTTCTCACCATGAGGGCAGTAAGCTCTGGGACAGGCTGCTGGAAATACCGCAGATACATGTGATCCTCCTTGGCTCAGGGAAGGGATTGTTCAGGGAGTTTGTGACAGCAATGGGTGAGGTGTGAGAGGTGATGCTAGTAAGGTCAGACAGGAGGACACGAGATGTGTGAAAGGCCTTCTGGGGCACAGGGACCATTTCTTAATGTACCATGAAGGCACAAACATTCTTGTGTGGCCAAAGGCTGGATGCTTAAAGCCTTCTTTCTAGAGGTGGCTGGATTTTAGGGAAGCAAAGAGATGTCTGAAGGGACTTTCTAAAGCATCGATGCATCTCCTGCATCTCTCAATTCTTACATATATTTAAAAATCTGCTTCTTGGTAGCAACTCAGATAAAGATGGAAAGATCTATTTAATCATTAAAATTAAAAAAAAAAAAAAAGGAGTCCAAATAAATCAAGTCGCACCATGAAGCATTGGCTGTTTAATGCCTCGATCTCATGGTAGGCATTTGTTTGGTCCAAAGCAGAGGCGGTGTGCACTTCATGAGGAATAGGATCTCGGTGCCTGGGGGTTTCTTTGACTTAAATTCAGGATTGCAAATGGAGAGGCTGTCATTTGCATTGCAGCACTGAAGAAAGGTCTCCCGGCAGCTGCTGAAGTGCCAAAGTGCCCCTTGGGTTCCTGTATCCATCCAGTCTTATATTTTCTTCGCAAACCCTTGGGAACAAGAGTCATTTTCAGCTCCTTTCCCTCCCGTGCTCCTCCCCAGCCAGGGCAGGCAGAGCAGCGTGCAGGGGCCGACCATGAGCGAGCAGAGCCACGTCAACAGCCTGTTCCTCAACGAGGACACAGCCAAGCGGCTCCACGCCGAGGGCCGGGTGCAGCGCCTGCGGCAGGCCGTGCAGAAGCGGGCGGCGCGGGCCAAGAAGAGGATGAGCAGCATCACTGCTGACAGCGCCAAGAGCTTCTTCCGCAGAAACGCCTTTGTCCTCTTCACCATCGCCGCGGTTTTGCTCGGTATGGGGCAGCGTTGGGCTCCGGGTGTAAGCGTGGGGGAAAGTCTGCTTATCCGGTAATGGTTTTGTTTTATTGGAGTGGTTTGGCTGGGGAGATGGAGCTGAAGGGGCCCTGTGTCTGTCGCTGCTCTCATAAGAGTGAGCTCTTTGGTGGTAATGGTCTCGCAGGGAGCAGCCCAGCGGAGCAGCAGGAGGTGGCGGTTCAGCACAAGGCTGCCATGCATGTACACACGTAGAGGGGAGAGAGCAGGCAGAGAAAGCTAGAACGCAGCATTGCAGAAAAGAAAGGGCATTACACTCTGGGGAGGGCAGGAGCGGAAGGGAGAAGAGGAAGAGGGAAGCCACGCTGTAGGATGGAGTGAGGGCAGGCCACCAGCTCACTATGACCCGTGTCCATTTTCATCCCTTGTTGACCCACAGGAATCATCCTGGCCTTTTCCCTCAGGCCCTACCAGCTGACCTACCGCCAGATCAAGTACTTCTCCTTCCCAGGAGAGCTGCTGATGCGCATGCTCCAGATGCTGGTTCTTCCTCTCATTGTCTCTAGCTTGATTACAGGTGAGAAGAGCTTTCTGGTGCTTTCAGCCAAGGCAATACTCAGCAAAGTCTGGTGCTGGCTGTTGTTGGAGTTCCCTTTGTGCTCTGCCTGCAGGTGCTCGGATAAGCAGGGCTAGTAATGACAAGCCTGAACCTACAGCTATAATGACCGTGGTTTACACTCATACCCCAGCTGGTTCAATAGTGGTGAAGAGAAGCAGAAGGCTTTGTGCTTTCTCAGAAGGCTGGGGAGGGCACAGTGTAGTGCTTCCAATGCCCAACAGTTGAGCATTAAGAAGGGTTTATCTGTTCCACGTATCCCTACTTGTGCAGGGGGGTTGGACAAAATGATTTCCAGAGGCCCCTTCCAAGCCGAACTTCAACTATGACTTTGTGATTTCATTCAGATTAACCTTGGATGTCAAAGTTTGTTGTCCAAGTGTGATTCAGATTTCCACTAGCCTAAATGAGGTTAATTTGTGCCAATCCAAGAGTCAGAGTTGATTCTCAGGTGGAGCACCAGCCTCATCCAGGTCCTGGTAGAAGACAGACCAGCCAGCCGACCCTTCAGAGGGCAGAAGGGGCTGCAATGCAATCCATTCCGTGAAACATCCCACCAGTAGGGAATGAAAGACCCGTTGTCCTGTGGCGGCATTATTTCCCTTCTGAGAGCTTTAGGAGGAAGTTGCTATGTTCCCAAATTCAGCCTAAGATTTATAAATGTTCTGCATCTTCATAAGCTTAAGCAACTTCCCCCCATATCTACATCATCCTGGAGCTCCAAAGTCTGCCCCTTGTACTTCCTAGAGACTCAGCTCCCATCCCTGCCCCCTGCGTGCTTCGAAACTTCCTCTGAGATATCAGATTTGCTCACCTTGTCTGTCTGCCTGACTCCCCAGGAATGGCCTCTCTGGATGGCAGAGCCTCAGGGAAGATGGGTATGCGGGCTGTGGTCTACTACATGGTGACCACAATTATAGCAGTCTTCATTGGCATCCTCATGGTGATCATCATCCACCCAGGCAAAGGATCTAAGGACAAGCTTCACCGAGAAGGCAGAATTGAGCAGGTTCAGACCACAGATGCCTTCATGGACTTGGTGAGGTAGGTGGACCAGTTGGCCGCATGTCAGTCCATGTCAGTGAGAGCAGACTCCTCCTCTGAACATCCCTTTGAAATGCCACAGCTTTAGGTTTATACTGTCAGGGAAAGAGGTCTTTGCTGAGTCTTTCTCAACGTGCTACTTTTAGCTCAGTCAGGGGAGGCCTATCACCTTCCTGCAGAGCTGCAGCCTTTGTCCCATGTTTGGGGGAATGGGGATTTTTTAGCCTGGGAAAAATTGGAGGTGATATATTTACAGTCTTCTGCTGCCTGGAGAGGAGCTGAAGAGAATATGGAACCAGATTTTTCTGAGAGGTATACAGGGAAAGGGCAAGAGCAAGCTGGAACAAGCAAAATTCTGATTGAGCACAGGGAATAAGCTGTACCCACAGCTAGCGCAGACTGGGTGCTGGGAGCCAAGGAGATGGAGGAATCTCTCTCCTTGAAGAAACTCAAAGCTCTGCTGAACAGCCTGAAGAAATCCAGCATTGAATGAGGCCACCAGCAGTCATTTTTCAGTAATTTCTATGACTTAGAATAATGGTGATCAAAATCAGTATTTAACAGTGAGGTTGGGCCAACACTTCTTGGTTTGACTACATTTGAAGCCAGGCTTGGAGGACTGCAAGGTGGTTACCCAGCTTTGTCACGCTGACATGCAATGCTTGGTCTGCAGCCCTGGAGTCCTGCCCTTCTGCTGGGAGTCAACGTGTGGCTTTGACAAGATCAGCTTAATCCAAAGGCTGTCAAACTAAGAGATGGACTGAGACCTGACGAGTGCACAAGGATCCAGTGTCACTTCTCCATTGTTCAGAGATGTGTTATTTCTGACATTGTTTCATTCATTCATTGCTCGTTTTACTTAAGAGTCTCTCCTGGTTGGGAAGAAAAGGGGCACCCCACAGTACAGTGTTTACACAAAATAATCTGAAGGGATTGGAGAACAGTCAGATTGAAAAATAGCTGTAATGGAAATGTGGGAAGCAGGATTAGCAATGACCATGTGCACTTCAGAGATCCATCTAACAAAGACTGCCCCAAGTATCCAGCAAGTTGAAGAAATGATACCCAATATATTGTCTGACCCCCCCTTGCCATGACCTTCTGCAGCCAACTGTGACATGAAGCTTCGTTTCTGAGGTTTCAGGATAACAGAGATCAGATGAGTGCTGTAGAGATGAGGCTGAGAACATGGCAATATGGTACTTTTTCAAGATCCAGTTAGTTCTGATGATGCTTTTGCAATGAACCCATGTCCCAGTGAAAATCTCCAGCCAGTGCTACCATCCAGGAACCAAGTGACTGGTCATGATGTCTAAGCACTGACTTTGCAGAATGGGAAACCAGTCAGAAGACACCCAGAAGAAATGAGGCTGGCTGCTGGATGCTCTGGGTTCAGCTGAGAATGATAGGATGGAGTCAAGAAAGAAACCATTCAAATTGAACTTCATGCTTTGTGAGGGTAGGCTGAGGGATCTGACCTGCTTCGACGTGGGGGCCAAGGGACGATCTAATAGCAGCAAACAGCTACTTCAGCACAGCTACAAAGGTGACAGAGCCAAACTCCTCTCTGAGATGGCAGAAATCTTGACAAAATGTGCAAACCAGAAATATTGGCTTGGGGGGGACAGTGGTACGTTAGGGTGTCTTTTCGCCCAGGGCTGTGGTGCAGCCCTAGGGCAGCTTAGCAGAGATGTGGGAGATCTCTGTCCCTGGGAGTCTTCAAGGCTTGGCTCGACAGAGCCGGAGCCAAATGTAGCGTTTGCAACGGTTCAAGGTGAACCTCCTGAGGGCCCTGTGCTTAATAAGCCACAAAGATGGAAAGCATCGTTTTTGAGGCATACCTGCAATTTACTTCACTGCTCACCCTGCTTCGACTTTTTAGGATTTTGTATGCATGTGTAGAAGAGTCACCTAGATCCAGATCAGTTCCAGATCTTCAGCCAGACAGAAAGGGCCAATCTGCTCATAGGCTGGCGTTGTGGCTGTTGTGACAAACAATATTGCTTTCAGACAGAGGCCTTGGCCATGAAGCCCACATTTGCTGGGAAGTCAGACAGGACAATAACTCTCTCCTTGTTTTATCTGCAGGAACATGTTCCCACCCAACCTGGTAGAAGCCTGCTTCAAACAGGTATGAGATCCCACCCGTCCTACGGCCTCCCTTTGTGCACTGTGCAGTAGAATATATTCCAGACTAATTCAACTAAGGGTGATTACAGGGATTTCTTTTATGCTTCCCTTCATGCTTCCCTAATTCCAAGCACTCGAGGAGGCATTCTAGTCGTTAGTCTGTATTGTAGCATTCCCCAAGCAAGTGACCATGAGCCTTTATCCTGCAGTTAAATGGTCCTGTGTCAGTCCTGGATTACCAAAGAAAATGTTGGTATCTCTCACTGGAAAGAGAAATGTTGCATGTGGATTAAATAATCTCCTTTTTAGAGTTGTAAAAATTAGAAGGTACAGGAGATAACTGCAGTGCAGAGAAGAACTGATAAAGTATTAGATATAAGTGAACAACTTTAGTCCATCGAGTAAAGACAGAGCATTTGACTTGCAAGATTATAGACACATCCAAAGGAGAGAACAATTCTTAAGACCAAAGAGTAGATATGGACTTAAAGGTAACAGTGACTTAAAATGAAAGCAAGAGTTCAAATGGAGAATTTTATGCAGATTTCAACATTAAAACAAACTATTTAGGACAGAATGGAACTCTGTCTTTTGAAATTGACATTAAAAAAAAAAAAAAGGATGTTTTGGCCATACACGAGTCAGGAGGTGGCATCTGGATGCAGTTCTCTAGATGCTCCAGTGCTCTCTTTTGACCTTAGGCTCTGTGAACTTCTCAGCCAAAGCATTAAAACTGGGAGTTCGAGAGCAAGCATGGCAAGTGTCCCACTGAGGTCAGTGAGAGCTTGCAGTTCTCTCTGTCCTTTGGGCAGAGATTTGACAGCCCGGCATGTTGTCCTGAGCTCCTGAGCGAGGGCCTGGAGTCACCTGAAGTCTCTGTCATTTCAGTACAAGACGCAGTACAGCACCCGAGTCTTCACCAGAACCGTCCTTCACAGCAGCAATCTCACAGCAAGCGTGGCAACCACTCAGCTCCCTGCGCCTGAGAACTCCACCGGCATCCTGGAGAATGTCACGCAGGCCCTCGGGACCATCTCCGAGGTGCTGAGCTTTGAAGAAGTCATTCCCATCCCGGGCTCGGCCAATGGGGTGAACGCGCTGGGGCTGGTAGTGTTCTCCATGTGCTTCGGTTTGGTGATCGGCAGCATGAAGCAGAAGGGACGGGCCCTGCGGGAGTTCTTTAACTGCCTCAACGAAGCCATCATGAGGCTGGTGGCCATTATCATCTGGTGAGGAGCACGGCCGGTTGGAGCAGGAGGTCTGCAGGTGCAGTTTCCGCTGACCTGATGAGAAATGGAGTAGCTTTAAGGATGACGTGCATAGGAAAAGTAGATGGGCACAGCTCTCCTCCAGCTCTCCATCAGGCTGGAGGGAAAAGTCCGGATGGGATATTTGTTCACATTTCATTTCCTGTTGTTCTTTGTTTGTTTGTTTTGTTTCCACCTTAGAAATATCAGGTACACCAGGACTTGCTTTCCCCGAGGCTGCTGGAAACATCCTTGGAAGACCAGAAAGCTGAAGTGGAAGATCTCTTAGCCTTACCAGCAGGCGTAGGGCATGAGGCTTTCCCACAGAAAGCTTTCCTTCCAGCTGTGTTCCAGGAGCCCGAGCTAGCTGAATCACAGTCACTACTGCCAGTTTTCTGCCCCTTGGGGCAGCACTCTCATGCCTTGGCTCTGAAAGCTGAGCTGGGTTGACAGGATCAACTCCAAGTTGCTGCCTTTCAGCTGGAGGTCTCCCAGATCCCACCTCCTCCAGATCTCAGCTCCTTGTTGCTTCTTATGCCTGCACTACACGGTCCAGACAAGGAAGGCATTGCTGCAAAAAGTCTTCTTAGTAAGCAGGATTTTACCAAATCTTGTTATGTTAAGCTCCTTACCTGTCTGTGGCTCAAGCTCTGAACGGGAGCTTGCTGTCGGAGAGATATGGGACTGGCAGAACATGTGGAAATGCCTGACAGGGAAGGATCTGTCAGCTCCACATCTTCTCCCCCATTCTCAGTCACTCCAGCTTTCTTTCCCTGGTGTCCCAGTGGCAGTCTTGTATTGCAGAGAAACATCCTAGGCACAGGATATGGCCTCACACAGAGATACGGGGCAAGAGCAACCTTGAGCTCACAGCAGAGCCATGCACTGCCTGGGAGCCCCAGCCCCTCTGGCATCTTTTCCTCCATGGATGAGCCAGAATCTGGGGCCTTGCTTTCCTGAGGGGAGATAAGAGTTGCTCAAGGGCAAAGGAAGGGAGAGCAGAGTGGAAGAAGAGGACCTGCACACTCTTTATTCTCAGAGACCATTTGAAGCTACCTTCAACTACCTCAAAAGGCAGAATGCTGATGGGTTGGACGTTGGTTATGCTCAGGAAATGGCCTGTGCAAATACATTAGGTAATGTTTGAAGACATCCCCTGCCTCACCAAAACACTGCTGGTGCAGGAGGCAGGACTGTCCCCCCAGCACGCCTTCCTGGAGCCACAGCCTGCAGAGCATCTCCCAGGAGCTGCTTTGTCCTGGGGAGATCTGGTCACAACCTGCAGCCAAGAATGTCTTCCAAGAAAAAGGTCAGAGGAAATGAAATATTTGTGAAATCCTTTCCTGAAACTTTTCCAAACCTCCCAGGCTAAGTTGGAGTTTGGCATGTGGACCTCTGAGCTTTGTGCATGAGTTGCATGTGAGCTCCTGAGCTGTAAGAGGCCAACCCCTGAGAGGGGTGGCCACGGAGCTGGGATTTCCTTCGGTCCAATTATTTGTTTAGTTCAGTGCCCATGATAATTCCCTTGCCTGTGTTATGGCTTCCTTCCCATGGAGCCTCTGCTGCTCATGAGATGCACTGCTGGGAGAAAAAGCTAGAAGAAATGGGAAGGGTAGCAGCATGCCTCAAAAAGAGGTTGCACATAAACCACTGCCTTCACAGATTGTTTTCCCAGTCCTCAGCACACCAGCTGTGGGTGCTCTGTATGCTCCTCTTCCCTGCACGAGAACCTCTAAAGATAACAAGGCATATTGCTAGGCACACAGGACACTTGCTTTTACTCCCATTTCCTTCTTATTTCTGTAACTGTGCCTCTCAGTGAAAAAGATCCCCTCAGCCCAAGCTCTGCTAGGAAAGGAAGGGACCGTGAGGGCTCCTTATAACCCCCAGCAATGCCACAAGCAGTGTTGAGGAGAGAGATAGGAACCTGGAAGGAGGAAGAAGCCTCTACCAGTGCCCAAGCTGTGCACTCAGCTGGTTTTTGACTCGGAGATCTCTCCACATTGCCAGAAAAGAAACCAGCAGTACAGCCCACCAACCAGCAGGCTCCTGGTGTGCTGGCTTATGGAGATGTGCCCAGAAAGCATGCACTGAAGCAGGTGTGGAGATGGGATATCAGTTCTGAGCACTGTCCGTGTGTTTCATCCACAGGTACGCCCCAGTTGGGATCATGTTTCTAATTGCTGGCAAAATCCTGGAGATGGATGACCTGGCGGTGATGGGGGGCCAGCTGGGGATGTACACCCTCACCGTCATCGTCGGGCTCCTCATTCACGCCCTCTGCATCCTGCCGCTGCTCTACTTCATCGTCACCCACAGGAACCCCTGGGTATTCATTGCAGGGCTTCTGCAGGCCCTCATCACAGCCCTGGGCACCTCCTCAAGGTACAGTGGCTGCATCGCCTCGGGGAGAAGTGAGGTTGGAGGTGGTGTGGATATTCCGGGGCTGCTGCTCAGTGCTTTGATTGCCCTCAGTGCAGCTCTCAGGTCTCACCATTTCAGGCACTAACAGCATTTTGCATTGGTCCAGACAACTCATTTCAGAGCAGAAAGATTCCCAGTTCCCTGCCCAGGAGACCTCATAGTGGGCTCCTCTCTACCCATCGGCTCACAACCAGCAGTCCTCACAAACATGGTGGTGACTGTGCTTGCAGCCCTGAAACACTCAGCTCAGGACACAAATCAATCCCCACTGAATCCCAGCATTATTTCCCGTGCTCACACCTCCACATATATATGCTCACAAACATTTGCACACTTCTTTTTTGCCTTGTGTCCAGCTGGTGTCAAACTGCCAGGAGTGTCCTCACTCACACACCAAAGCAGTGGATTGTGGGGTGCTGTTGCATCAGTTTCTCCTACATGCATTTTCATGCTGAAACACAAAAGATACCCTCACGTATTCTTTTCTTATGTACTGAGTTGGGGAGGGGAAAGGACACGAGTTTTTTAAGAGCTGGAAAAGAAGTTTTGGTCTTGAGGCTCCATTCTGTGCACCCAGAATCCCCCAAATCCTCTTCTTTTGGTGTTACACCAGCACCACACAGCCCCTGCCCACCCCCCTGAGGAAAGCTGTGTCTGAGCGGGCAATGCAGCGTGCACCATACTGAGGAACCCTTGCTTAGACTGTTCTTTCTCCTAGCAGCATCTGGCCTCTGGCTCACATGGCAGGGTGAGAAACAGGTGGGTAAGGTGACAACCCAGGCAGCAGTTTGGTCCCCCTGGCACAGCCAACACATACCTGATTTGTGGTATTTTCTAAATCCCTTTTAGCTCAGCGACTCTGCCCATCACCTTCAGGTGCCTGGAAGAAAACAACGGCGTGGACAGGCGCATCACGAGGTTTGTTCTGCCCGTGGGAGCTACCATTAACATGGATGGCACCGCTCTGTACGAGGCCCTCGCTGCCATCTTCATTGCACAAGTCAACAACTACGAACTCGACTTTGGGCAGATCATCACAATAAGGTGACTTTTGAAAGGTCTAGGGAATTTGGGAGGGATCCCATAGCCAGCCCTTGGGTAAGCCTGTTTTGTTGGCTTGCCTGAGCTTTAGGTTCCTCTGAATGGAAAGGAAGGGGAAACTTTCAGGAATGGAAGCTAATAGGGCTTGAGTGCCATGTCTTCGAGACCCCCCTGAGACCTTATTGCATTCCCAATTTGGGGCCAACCCTTGGACAGAGCTGCTGTGTGCACTCTGCTGTGGCTGGTGCTGGCAGGACGTGCCGGGCTCAATCTGATGCCCCACGTGTCACTTTCCTTCTCTGTGACGGGGCAGAAAGGCTGCCAAGATGGTTTGTAGAAAATGTGCTGAGCCTCTTCCTGATGCTTCTGCAAATGTGACTGCCTGTATTCTTCCTTCTGCTGAGAGATGTGCTTTGCTTTCCCTCCAGCATCACTGCCACGGCAGCCAGCATTGGTGCTGCAGGCATTCCCCAGGCAGGGCTGGTGACCATGGTCATAGTGCTGACGTCGGTGGGGCTGCCAACTGAAGACATTACGCTGATCATCGCTGTGGACTGGTTCCTGTGAGTTCTCTGCTCAGCAGCATGCCCTGCCCTGTGCTCCCTGTGTCTGCACTCCCAAAGTCTGTGCTACAAGCAGGCTCCATGATCTGTATCAGGAGGCCTTTGCACAGAAGCCCTCTCTGTTCATTCATCTTCACCATATACTTCAGTGACCCAATGCATCAGAATTCACTTACAGATCAGCTTGGTGATCAAGCAGCATGTCCTTAGTTTGCTTTATCTTACTAGATAACAATTGGAAATGATCTCCAGATCAACAGGGACAGGTTGTGTCAGTAACACAAAAATTCACACTGCTGAGTGACAGTGGCTCTGTGCTACCAAACAAGGACAGTGGGATGGGATGGGATGGGATGGGATGGGATGGGATGGGATGGGATG